GCCTTTTCGATGTTGGGGCACCGAAAACATCCTTTTTTAAAGAAAGCACAGGCAGAAGAAACTCAGCAGAAACTTGTCGGGCACAAAAAACCAGCCGCAATATTACATCGCTGCTACCACTCAACGATATTTGATAATATCGAACTTACAGATTTTTATCATATAATTTGGAAAAAGGGGATTCGAGTTTCAAAGGACAACTGCCTATCACACATGAATTTCCCCGTAGACTAGCGATGGGAGCGGAGCGACTTGCCCAAGTGACGGGCCTCTCGCAGCAGACATTCTGTACGGCTCGGCAATATGGAAATCTTAGCACATGTTACCTGGACTCTGAATTTCTTATGCAGAAAAAGAACCAGACATGGCCCAAATAATAAGATTTTGCCAATAGCAATATTCGTTCGCAAGGATGCCAATGGTTCCTGTTTCCGAGAACTGCTCAAAAGCAAACTTAAGACGCCCCTGTCTTTCTACCATAAGCTAGCAGCAATTAAGAAACAAGGAGTAACTATGTTACTGATTTTCTCGCTCGATATTCTTACCATCATAATGCTAAATGCAGTTCCTTTGTAAAGAAAAGCCGAATGGCATTCATAAAAATCTTACCTCCTTAAAGCTGAATCTTAAAGCATTCATAAAGCCGAATCTTACCTCCTTCTGCACTGATTCGCTAACACGTGATCCAACCAACGAAAGCAGATCTTCCCTCAACGCATTCCAAAACATTTCAGCAGCATCCGATACAATTTCCTCAATCGGATAGATGCCAGGCCATAAGGAGATTTTCTCGAAAAATGTACACAGAAGCCTGAGAGGGAACAAAACTTTTACGACACGTGTAGAATACATCAGAGAGGTATCTAGACTTCCATGAAATATGAAACTGCCACTGAATAATATGAAAATAGGCATCCCAATTGCCTTTTATTCAATAACTAAACGTGTTGTTCATCAACTAACATATCTGAGATGAAAATACCTGCAATGAATGAAATTTTTAAAATATTGACAAGACTCCAAGGCTGCACAGATAACTGGTTAGTGATGTTTCCGGATGCTTTTTTCAACATGCCGGTAGTAACTATTCTCGATCCTTCGATCCTGAGCTGCATATCTTCAAGCTAACATCCATCACCTCCTTTGTGTATAAACGCCATCTCCTCGAAGATCTCATAGTGGCTGACTGTTTTTGTGCGATTCCATTCCCTATTATGCGACGCCCGCAGGCTGCCAACAAGATGAGCAAAATGCCCGGCCCAAGTTAAAATACTATATAAACTTGGATACCTGGATCAGTTATAATTCACTGTCCTAATTCTTCAGCTATGCAATTAGCAGTTTTTCTAATCATCGCCCAGAGGTCAGCCTGCTTGTGACCTACAGTTCGCCTCTTGAGAGGATAATCAGTTTAACGGTCCTTCCGACAGAAACGCCTAGCAGAGCTTTAGGATTTCTAAAATATCTTTAATGTATGCTGTACATTATTGCTTCGTTCCAAATGTTGCTTTTCCTAGAACACAACGGACCACTTCACCGGCTATGTTACTGAATAAGAACAGGCTGAAAAACCAAGCACCATTATCTTTTTACATCTTTCCCTTTTTTACTCTTTTTTGACTTTTTCTATCATCCATTTCTACATTTTCTAACAAAATTTCCACTTAACCTTAAATGTAATATCAGAGTACTAATTTTCCTACCAAATGCGGAACTGAGAAACAAATCGTTTGATTGTGACCTAAGCAAACATCTGTGCGGGAAGCAAGACATTTTCGAGAAGGCTTTCAATTGTGTTGGATTGACACATGGTCACAGTTGTGACTGTTCCCTTAATGAGATCAGAATTTCCCCAAAAATTCCTGCACAACTGTTGCATTTGAAGGCGCAAAGAACTATATAAGAGGATTTTTTTTATTTTTTGTACTGCAAATGAACGGCACCTCGTTCGGTACAAAAACTGAATTACCTCAGTACTTCCGTACTTCGTTTCTCGACACAACCCATAAGTAACGGGCTTATCGTAACTTCCACAAATTCAGCCAAAGCAGCAACAAGAAGACCGTATTCTTCCAGCTCGGCAATGTAACCAGCTCGAGACTCCTCGCTGATTTCGCTGTGCTGCTTGCTGAGCATACGGAGTTGTTCCATAATTACCTACAATTCTAATGATTCTATTCATACACACACATACACACACACACACACACACAGAAATACGCTCTTACTGCTGGTGGTGGCAAGTCTGTATTTGTAACAGTTCAAAACACACTACTTATTTAAGCAAACAGCTGGTTGGCGGACAAAACTTTTCTCACATTCTCTGGAAAAGAAACTACCTACTGTGTAAATGGTTCGAGCGATAAGGGCAAATCTTTGAGCACTGTTTCAACTCGGAAGCAGAAGCGTAGCACGAAGCTTGTTTTGCTTTTGTATGAAAAAAAAAAAAAAAAAACTATGTTATTTGCCCAATGGAGTGTTCCCTTCATTCATCCTGTTCCAGTTTCCTCAAATTTTGCTGCCCTTATCGCCATCGGACTTTGAATGTCCGCGATTATCCACAGACTTTTCGATCCATTTTGGTTGTTATACCACCCTAGCGGGAACTTTCAGTGTCTTTATGCAGCAAAAAAGCGCAATAAATTATTTTCACTGCTCCTGTGGCGACCGAAGGTTACTTTCCAGGCACATTTTCATCAAAAAATAACTAATCAGTCAACAAAAATATGCATGGAAGTAATTTTATAAATTTTGCTCTTAATTACGGGCATACAGAAGTGGTGGAAACAATGTGCGAAATTCGAATATGTCAACTAAACACATACTCCATTGTATCTAATACTACTCCCGCAACTAAAGCGCGCCACAAATTTAGCAATTCTCATCGGAAGAAAATGGGGTGAGAAAAGACCGATCATCAGCAGCAGCTACAGTGGGTTGCATAAAATATTATGTAAAATCGGTTAAGAAACCCTGGAGAAGTTCAAACTGTACTGACACAGCAAAGCAAGAGCGCTGTGATGAAATGACAAGCGCACAATAACATGCACAAACGTGAACTACTGCTCTGATATAAAAAAAACAGTAGAAATCTGGCGCGGAAATCTCGGGATTTTGCTTGCGATTTGCCTATTTTTTATAAATAGCAAGCTGGAAAGTGAAAAATGAGAACGCAGGAACTCACAGAACAAGTGATACTGGCCAAGAAAGTGTTCAGATCCACAGCTAAATTTTCGATGAATGGAAGATCGGGATGCGCCGAAACCACATTCAGGATTCGAGCCAAAGCCGCTCTAAATCAAACAAAAAACATTCTTTTTTAAAGTGGTAATAAGAACCAACGTGATCAGCGGTCAAATTTTCCAAATTGTAGCCAAAAAATTCAATATTAGTAAGTGGAAAATTACGAAGAACTTGTGTAAAAGGTAAGAATCCGTTAACAATTTGAGATCCCGTTAATAATTTTAATAACCCCAAACAGTTTCTTCAGTACCCTCAGTATTAATCTGCCTTCTTCACTTCTTAAAATTCTTACTAATTTGCAAAATGTCTCAGCCTGTTTTTACTTTCACTTTACAGTTTCTTAATTTAAAACACATTAAAGCATTTCAGTTATACTAAACAAAGCCCAGTATGTGGTGCGACAAAGAAACGCATATGTGTAACACACGGAGGCCTGAGTGGCTGTAGCGGGGTGCTTCTGTGGGGCTGCGGGGAGTACTCTCTCAAACCAGTAGATAATGGTTTATTGAAAACAAAAAAAAAAAAATTAAAACAAAAACGTACCCAGACACAAAAATCAACCGAGACTCAGCGCAGGAGATCCGACAGTAGTTCCAAGCTGCCGCCGCAGGAGTATTTGGTATAGGAAAACAACTACCATTTCATTTCTAATCAAATCATTATATATCCCAGAAGGAGCGGTGAACTCGAGTCAGGGGACTAAGGGAATTAGCCACCAACTTCATTTCCTTGCTGTTAACGCCTTCATTTTGCAACATATGACTTCATGAACAGAAACATTTCTTCCCATTTATAATTCTACTCTTTCTGCATAGGAAGTTTACTTACAAGAAGTTCCTGTTCACATATTTACACCAACAATCATTTCTGGAAAACTCCTCTACAACAAAATTTCACAAATAATGACGTATTTCCCTTCCATAACTCCTTATTTACCTCTCCATCCTTCTCCAATTTCTAACAGTAATTTAAGGCATTTAAGTCTCCAGAAATAAGCTACGAAAAAAATAAAGTTGCGATTTATTAAATACCAATTGCTAATACTTTTTTCCTTAAAATTCTAGAATATTACTTCAAAATATCGCGACCACTCACATCACAGCACCGTTCAATCACTTTTAATGCCGCCAACTTTGCATTTCCTGCTTTTATTCACAACTTTACATCTTCAGCGTTATAATCGTTATTACCTGTCGCTAGGATTACCAAGAAATGGTAGAAGTGCCGGCTGCCACTGAGCCAGATCGATGCCCGGCAAGCGTAGCCATTGTTCAAGGCACTCAACAGCAGCATTTCTTAATGATGGCGTAGCATCCTTATCACACAAAATTAAATTGATAATTCTGATAACATCCTGAAAATGCATGCGAAACTTCGCATAGTAGTAAGATAACAAGTCAGATTAATAAATTATATATATCCTTTTAAAAGAGCAAAAAAATTCACTCCTAATTATATCCCAATAAAGCGGATTAATGACAGGCAATCAAGCAATGTTTAACGGGCAAAAGTAATGCCATTACTGAAGAAAATCCCACGAAAAGCCTACAAAGAAGCTACCAAAAAAGTACGTATTGCCTTAGAAGAAGCAGACAAGAAAGGGGCCCATACCCATTTTGCAAAAAACGGCTACGCTCAGTTCACAATAGAAATGCTGTTATCGAATTGTAGGAAAGCATTTGAACGTTTACACGAAGTAACGTGATGTAGAAAACTCAGGGCCAGCAAGGATGCAGAAGTTGCCGGTTGCTTTGCAAGCAAAAAAAGAAACACGGCGCCTAATTAAAACATACAAAAAACTGTTTTCCACAGTTGTTTTACCTCGTATTATGCCTATTTTTCTCCCCGTGGTTTCATTTTTAGCAAGTATATTCGAATTCGAAGCAATTCACGCACCTCAGCTTTACGATGTAAAC